TCACAATTTGAGTTGAATTACTGAAATAAATGAACTTTTCCACGACATTCTAATTTATTGAGATGCACCTGTATAACCAGGGGTGCACATAAGCTTATATATATATATATATATATATATCTCTCTGGAGTGTTTCCTCCGAGGAGGCAAGTGTCTCCTCAAAATATTGGATGAGAAAAAAACACCACCACCAATATTACAAAATATATCATTAAGTACTGTATGAATCACTCGGTAAAGTTTCAGCGGTAGTCGACATCTGTTGTGCCTCCTCTGCTCCCATTGAGTTTTAACTGACCCTTAGCGTGCCGTGGGTTTAGTGGGGGGTAATTGAGAATGAATGGGGGAAAGTCACGTGAGAGGAGGCAATGCCTCCATCGTGATATGATTTGATATGACTGTTTATGTTCAGCTGTGATTGGTTCAAGCAATAAATCCCGCCTCTTGTGTTTGTGTGCATTCCACGTTCGCGAATCAGTCTGAATAAACAATATAATGGGAAGTTAATTGGAAGACTAATTTAAAAAAGTATGTAAACACCTCACACACATACAGGTGCATCTCAATAAATTAGAATGTCATGGAAAAGTTCATTTATTTCATATGTGTGTGTTTTTTCTTTTCTTTTTTATATATCTTAATATCTTGCCATTAATAAACATTAATGATTTCTCATAAGCATTTTTTTTTTTTAATCAATCCAGGAAAATATTCCAGATAAATTTATAAAAATAGGCTATCATATAATATTGATATTTATCATGATATTCATTTACCATTAATGGGGAAGGAAATGCATTCCACATGTTTGTTAGACCTTGAGAATGAAGCTAAACGTAACTTTGTTCACAATTAAATTCCACAGAGGAGCTACGTTTTCATTTAGGGCCCCATGAAATGCATTTTATTTTTCCCTAAATTCTGTGTTTTCCATTTGATTTCTTATGGATTCCGAGTTTTATGATTCAGTACAAATTTATCAAAAAATGGTGTCTAGTTAAATGAATTAATAAAACTTTAACAATTTAATCAATCTTTTAAAATGTAATCAAATGAAAATCAATTTACAACAAATATCATGATATTCATTTACCATTAATGGGGAAGGAAATGCATTCCACATGTTTGTTAGACCTTGAGAATGAAGCTAAACGTAACTTTGTTCACAATTAAATTCCACAGAGGAGCTACGTTTTCATTTAGGGCCCCATGAAATGCATTTTATTTTTCCCTAAATTCTGTGTTTTCCATTTGATTTCTTATGGATTCTGTGTTTTATGATTTAGTACAAATTTATCATTAAAAATGGTGTCTAGTGAAATTAATTAATAAAACTTTAAATTTTAAAGGATTAAATTGTTAATCAAATGAAAATCAATTGCAAAATCTTTTTTTTTTTTTATCAGACATGATGCTGCACAACAGAACTGTATAAATTAATAATAAAAAAAACTTTGTTGTATGATATTCCTTAAAAATATTATTATTATTATTATTCCTTTGAGAACTGCATTGTAGTATAGAGTAGTAATATATTCAGTTATAATTTCAAGTTAAACCGGACTTTTATTTTGATGGATTGTCGTGAAGGTCTTTCAGTTTTAGTTTTAGCGTGCATTTGACAGTAATTTTTCTCAAATGAAACTACATAAAGCTGATGAAGTGACTCTCAGAGCAGCTCTGGAGATGAAGTTCATGTGTTCATTTCCTCATATATTGAGACGCAGACGCACACCGCGAGTCACGTGTGTTTATTAGCGACATGCACTGGTTGCTGTAACATTTATTTCTGTTGTGTGATAGGACGTTAGATTAATCCATATTGAGTAAAAATGTCCAGAGCTTATCATCATTATTAACATAAATTATATCATGATCTCGATATGATAGCCTAAATTAGCATCAGGCGATACATGAAATTTATAGAATGTGCTTGGCGGGTGACTCAGAGACTCCATGCGGGCTACCAGGTGCTCGCGGGCACCACGTTGGTGACCACTGCTTTAGACCAACTTTATTGTTACTAACTTTATTCTGTAAAAAAAAAAAAAAAATTAGTTTGGGACCACGATGATAGTCTTATTTTACTCTGTTTATTATTTGTGAAGTTGTCAAGTAGGACAGTACTTGTGTGTGGGTCAACCATTTTTGTGAATATATGGGTCACAGCTTAATGACGATGTGGAAATGTGGGTCCCATGAACAAACCAGCTGAGAACCACTGCTTTAGAAATATCATTCATTTCTGTAGAAAAGGACATTTTAATAAGGATCAGATGAGTGAGCTTAGTTTTGAGAATGAAAACCAACCTGTTTGTTCCTCAGTATCTTCATGTTTGACTCGTGATATGATTGGAGATGACTGGTTATGATCGGCTATGATCTCGTGTTAGTGCTTGTTCCGTATTTGCTGAATGAACAAAATAATGCTTTTAATGGGAAGACTAATTTAAAAAGCAGTCCATCAGGATCAGTGTCCTTATGTTTTATTAACAGTCAGTATTGTGTAACTGTAGTTTCCATAACCCCAAAATGCCACTCTATTTTCACGTTGTTATTTTGTACATTTTTAAATGACTTACTTTAGACCAGGGGTCTCCAACCTTTTTGTGAGTGAGGGCTCCCTGAAGGGATAAAATAGTCTAGAGGGCTACTTGTTTGATATATATTAGGGTTTTATAATGAAATATCTTAATATCCTGGCTTGTTTTTCTGTGTGTTTGGACACTTTGTCCTGTTTAAGGTGAGAATAATTAACAGATAGAAAAATAAATGCAAACTAAACCTCAGCTCCCTAGTTCAGTAGTCAGCGCACTGGTGAGGGAGTCAGTCAGAGAGAGAGTTAATGGCCTTAAATGATCTGATTAAAATATACATGCAAATTATACATGAAGTTTATGAAGTATTAATTATTTATATTTGGTATTCAATTATTTGTACATAAAACTAAATTGATTCCACTCTCATGAAAACATTTGCAGCTGGTTTGTAAAAGTTGTCATTGAACATATTTGTGTTTGTTGTTCTCGTTTGTCTTCAGCGTGCGCTGATTCAAATAACTGAATCATTTACGAATGACTCGGTTCAGATGATTCTGATTCACAGTTTATCTCTTTTTTTTCCAGTTCTTGAACGATGCACGGGATCGTTATTCACGATATCGGGAGTGAAAAGAGACGCACCTTTTGTTTTATTAATACGAGGATGCACTTTACTCACATAAATTACACTAACTAAAGTATTACAACGTTACATTTAAGATTTATCCTGCGCTGATTCAAATCACTGAATCATTTACGAATGACTCGGTTCAGATGATTCTGATTCACAGTTTATCTCTCTTTTTTCCAGTTCTTGAACGATGCACGGGATCGTTATTCACGATATCGGGAGTGAAAAGAGACGCACCTTTTGTTTTATTAATACGAGGATGCACTTTACTCACATAAATTACACTAACTAAAGTATTACAACGTTACATTTAAGATTTATCCATTTATTTTTTTACATAGATTGTAAAACGTGTGAATTGAGAGAACAGTTTACATTGATTTTAAAACCCACTAACCTTTCTTCAGCCGAATCACAACAGATGCAGGGAGCAAGCTAAGGCTAGAAGGGGCGCGGCTTTATGACGTCACATTGCCAGACCAAAATAAAAGTCCCGTTTACACACTGATGTCTATTACATGCATATGATAATGCATTTCCACAATTATTAGCATGGTAAATCTAGAAACTTTTTATCTTCTTCATTTTTTTAATTAATGTACATTTACATCACTATACTTTGTGTTTTCTTACCTTGCCATTAAATTACATAAAAATAGTCAACGTTGCTGCGTGAGCAGGGCTGCATTAAGACCTCACTGGGCCCCGGGGCTATGACTTACTGCAGGGCCCCCCCATCACAATAATGATATATATAGCTTAAAATAGGATTTTTATCCAATCAAAATTTTTGATGCATTGCAATTTCACAATTTTTGTTACCAATTGCATTATCACAAAATAAAAAATACTAGCCTAAGTAAAAACAAACTTACCGAAGTCAAGTAAACCGTCATGAATTACAATAGAACAAAAAAATTGACCTACAGTACAAACACTTAAAGCACTGATTAAGAAATATTATATTGTATAAAATAAATAGACTACAAATAGACTGAATAGTCTTCACTGCATGAATTCAATATATATTATTTTACAAAAGCAATTCGGTCAAGGACAGCGAGTGATTTTCTTTCTAATGTTTAATTTACATTATTGACACAAATAACAACAGCAGCTATAGGCTGCTTTGGAGGAATAGTTAACCCAACAATTAGTTATGTTGTTGTTGTTCTAAACCAGAATGAGCTTCCTTCTGCTGTTGAATGCAAACGTATATATTTGGAACAATACTGGTAACCAAACAGTTTCTGTGCCCCCATGACTTCCATAGTATGGAGAAGAAAAAAAACCCACCATTGGAGTCAACAGGAACCAGAAACTTTCTGGTGGTTACGAATATTCTTCAAAATATCTTCTATGTTGAGGAGAACAAAGAAATTAATACAGGTTCAGAACAACTTGAAGCTGAGTAAATGATGACAGAAATTTCCTTTTTAATGTCTGCTCTTATTTCAGCTATGACTTAAGTCTCCAAATGTAATTTATTACAGTCAAATGTTTAAAAATTGATACCAGGTCAGTGTGTAAGACTCACCTGGTAGTGGTGAAGAGCCCATAGATGAGGGGGTTCTTTTTTTCCTTTCCACGCTGAATAAAAATATCCTCTACAGAAAAACAGAAAACAGGTTTAGAATATTAAACATGCTTTGTATGCACTTTAGTCAATGCTAATGAAAAAGACTGTGTATGTATGGTCTCTGGTTTCATCTCAAGGCTGTATCATGAAAATAATATTTTTCTACCTCACTGGGCCCCGGGGCTATGACTTACTGCAGGGCCCTCCATCACAATAATGATATATAGTTTAAAATAGGATTTTTATCCAATCAAAATTTTTGATGCATTGCAATTTCACAATTTTTGTTACCAATTGCATTATCACAAAATAAAAAATACTAGCCTAAGTAAAAACAAACTTACTGAAGTCAAGTAAACCGTCATGAATTACAATAGAACAAAAAAATTGACCTACAGTACAAACACTTAAAGCACTGATTAAGAAATATTATATTGTATAAAATAAATAGACTACAAATAGACTGAATAGTCTTCACTGCATGAATTCAACATATATTATTTTACAAAAGCAATTCGGTCAAGGACAGCGAGTGATTTTCTTTCTAATGTTTAATTTACATTATTGACACAAATAACAACAGCAGCTATAGGCTGCTTTGGAGGAATAGTTAACCCAACAATTAGTTATGTTGTTGTTGTTCTAAACCAGAATGAGCTTCCTTCTGCTGTTGAATGCAAACGTATATATTTGGAACAATACTGGTAACCAAACAGTTTCTGTGCCCCCATGACTTCCATAGTATGGAGAAGAAAAAAAACCCACCATTGGAGTCAACAGGAACCAGAAACTTTCTGGTGGTTACGAATATTCTTCAAAATATCTTCTATGTTGAGGAGAACAAAGAAATTAATACAGGTTCAGAACAACTTGAAGCTGAGTAAATGATGACAGAAATTTCCTTTTTAATGTCTGCTCTTATTTCAGCTATGACTTAAGTCTCCAAATGTAATTTATTACAGTCAAATGTTTAAAAATTGATACCAGGTCAGTGTGTAAGACTCACCTGGTAGTGGTGAAGAGCCCATAGATGAGGGGGTTCTTTTTTTCCTTTCCACGCTGAATAAAAATATCCTCTACAGAAAAACAGAAAACAGGTTTAGAATATTAAACATGCTTTGTATGCACTTTAGTCAATGCTAATGAAAAAGACTGTGTATGTATGGTCTCTGGTTTCATCTCAAGGCTGTATCATGAAAATAATATTTTTCT